AGGCTCTCCTGACATAGGTCAATCCCCAGCTTCGCGTGCCACTTCTGATGAACCGGCAAACTTGCAGGCACCTCAAGTGCAGTGGGCTCCTGGAAACTAGCTGCAATGATGTGCCTAGCATTGACTTGTTCAATCTTCCATGGGCCTAGCGGCTATGGACATGGGGCTACCCATCGACCTTTGATTCAAGTCTTAGGCTTGGCTTAGCCTGGGATAGGCCGCCCCCCATGGAGGTCCGGCATCCGTCCCAAGGCCCAGCGTCTCACGCTCCAACACGCCCCCTCGAACTGCCACGCCGCCACCGCCCATGCGCGCGCCTCAGCCTGGCCAACTGGGATTCAAGGGAGGGGTTGGCATGGAACTAATGTATCACTTGCAGGGGTTCATTCTGGCTGTATTGCCGGACATGCCCTTGAGGCATGCTCGTTTTAGGGTTCTCCATGTGCTTGATTCCGAACGGCTCGCCGGACAATCAACAGTCAACGGCTTAGCGCCTCTTCAGACAACATGCTTACTTTGAGACTCGCGCTTAGATCATCCAGAGCTTTAGTCCTCAGTCAAAATGTGCAAAAGTAGTGTTTCCTCAAAGGGGCCTTGCAGTCCAGCAGTCCCTCCCTTCTGAGTTTCTGTCTCAAATCCCTTGGCATTCTTCGGCAACGCTCCGGATTCGCCCGCTGAGCGGCAAGCCCAGGCCGCAGGCAGCCGGTGCCCCAGAAAACCACCTCGTCGGCTGACGAGCTCAGTTCCTGGACGTGCTTGTTGGGAAGACCCACCACTTGTGTAGCAAACAAACAGCTCAGACTTTGGAACGCCAACCAAAATCATACCCCCCCTTGGTTTTCAAGCTTTTGAGCAGACCATTTCAGTGGTAAACAAAGTGGTGAGACTTTTTCTGCCCAATCCCCTCAGGAAGTGGCGCCAACTGGTTCCCCAATTCAGCACAGCTTCGAGAACACGCTTCCCGAGTCCGAGGCCACGTTGCCGCCGATCGGCGCTGGCAGGTCGGGGCCGTGGCCCTAGGCGCGACGCTTCTTTCCCATGGCCACTGGGGGTCCGGAAATCAATCCTTATACCGGATGCTGGTTCACCTGTGAAGGTGGTGCATGGTGGTGTCCCACCACGGATTGCGGATTAGTTGTACATAGCTCTGATTGAGCTAGATTGTGCTTCTAGGGTTGAGGTTAGCTCACTTGCTTGTGAGGTTCTTGAGGTGGTGTGGGCCTGAGGAGGAGGTCCCTAACAATCTTTCATGGGGAATGGTTCGCATAATTTGCGTATGGCTTTCATGCACGGCTGTGCGGGAAAGGCTCCACCACGATGCTTTCCGCATTTGCTTTACACAAAGATCACTCCTTGACGCAGCCATGGCGCCCCAAAGTGGGCTCGAGGACGCATCAGGATCAGTCAACTGCCCTTTCATAGGTTGTTTTTGTTTCCGCATTTTTTCCGCTTTTGGCTTCTTGGCTTTTTCGGCTTCTTGGCTTTTCGGCTTCTTGGCTTTTCGGCTTCTTGGCTTTTTGGATTTTCGGTTTCTCGGCTTCTTGGCTTTTCGGCTTCTTGGCTTTTCGGCTTCTTGTTAGTTTATGCGGCTTTTGGTGGCTTTTTGGCCTTGGCTTTTCGCATCCTCTGCAGTCCCAGTTCCTCTCCAGTAGGTGGCGTTTTGGCTTCGCTGATTTATGCGGCTTTTGGTGGCTTTGGCTTTTCGCATCCTCTGCTTTCCCAGTTCTCTCCGGGCTTTTTGGCTTTTGTACCTTTTCATTGGTTTTTGGCTTTGGCTTCCCGCATCCGCAGCATCACCAGGCCCTCCTTATTTGAATCATCACTTCTTCGAACATCATGGGGGGACCCCTCCCCCCAACCCCCCCGCTACTTTTTAGATTGTTTGTAGAGAACCCCTATTTGAATCATCACTTCTTCAAACATCATTGGGGGGGGGGGGGCTGCCGCTTCCCCCCCAACCCCCCCTACTTTGTTGATTTCTTGCGGAGATTTCATTGCCCCCTAATTGAATTATCACTTTTTCGAGCATCCAATTTCGCGAGGAAATGCTGTAAAATACAGCATGTCATGCAATCTATTTTTGTCTGTATGTACATCACCAGGTCCCCCTTATTTGAATAATCACTTCTTCGAACATCATGGGGGGACCCCCCCCAATCCCCACGCTACTTTTTAGATTGTTTGTAGAGCACCTCTATTTGAATCATCACTTCCTCAAACATCATCCCCAACCCTTCCTTACTTGTCAGATTTCTTGCAGATATGTTTTCCCAAATTACAGGAAGGCACATGCAGGTAACGAAGGGGCCAGGTACACACATGGCTTAGCCATGTGTTCCCACATGCCCCATGTTGCCGCAAGACGCGAACAAAAAGGGAGACCAAGCGAAGGGTCGGCCACGCACAAAGCCAAGAAAGGCACCGAGCGTAACTGCACGACCAAAGGTGAGACACTAGGCATCAGCCCACAGCACTGCGCCCCTAGCTGAATTACCACTTTTCCAAGCATCCAATTTCCCGAGATTTCTATAAAATACGACACTTTACGCAAATGTATGCACTTCTTCGAACATATAGGGGAAGCCACCCCCGCCAACCCTCCTTTCTTGATTCATTGCACCCCTATGTAAATCACTTCCTCGAACATCAGTGGGGGGCTGCCCCCCCCTCCCAAACCCCCCGTTACATTTCAGATTTTCTACAGAGGTTGAATTGCACCCCAATTTGAATCATCGCTTCTTTCGAACATCTGGGGGGGGGGGTTGCCGCCCGTTTTCATTGCACCCCTATTCGAATCATCACTTCTGTGAACATCATGGGGGGAGCTGCCGCCCCTCCAATCCCCCCGCTACTTTTTAGTTTCTTTTACAGGGATTCAATTGCCCTCCTATTTGATTCATCATTTTTTGGACCCCGGAAACCCGCTACTTTTTAGATTTTGTTACCCACGATTTGTTGGTGATGCTGGGGGTGTTTGTCGGACATGCGGGGGATGCTGAAAACGATGCTCGCGAGAAAATGTAGTAAGATGCGACATATTACTGGCCCGGACAAAAAAAGAGAGGAAGAAACAACAAGAGTAAAAAACAACAAATTCCCGAAATAAATCCGCACCCATAGCCAAGTGCTGAGTTGCGCAGAGCTAGTGCTGTGGTTGGGTTGGTGGCCTGGTTAGTCGGGTCATTCCTCCAGTAATTGTCGACTGGTCGGGCGCCATGTGTCTGCTCAATGTTTGTGTGTTTCGTTTAGGCTCATTTACAATGCTTACAGCAGGGTAACTATCTAAGAGCACCTCCATTGATCATTCCCCATCGAAGACAGCCGCTTTGGAGGACATTCCCTGAAGCGTCGAGGGTGTTTTCCGGGTTTGTATGATAGACACTCCCCACAGTCCAACAAGGGTGTGTATACACGTATATTCCAGGCGCCTTTTTGTATATATATATACACACACATATATATATATATATATGTGTGTGTGTGTGTGTTTATATACACACACACAAATACGCCCTTTGCAGATCCCTACAGTGCGACTGCCTGTTTCAAGTTGAAGCGGATTTCACGCGTCGAAGCTGGCAACTTGGCGTGCTAAGGTCCTCGAGATCACCAGGCGCTCGAGAGCGATTGCGCGGGCCCCGGGGTTGATTCCCACGCGTGACGCATGAGCATGTATCAACTTGAGGCAGCCGGTCGAAGTTGCCTTAACAAATCCAAGCGAGGCTGTCCGAATGTAATCCGCAAGATCCTTACCTTGGGTTACGCAAGGGTTTGGTCCCCTTCGGTGTGGCTTCACTGTAGAGAGTATATGGATTTGGATTGGCTTGGTTTCCTCTTGGCATCGCTTTTCGCAAGGGGCTTCCCCTCAAAAACGGCACGCCCATGTATTGAAAGGATCCATGCTGAGAGTTTCACGGCCACGACCTGGATCCTGATTCGGCATGGAGAGTTGGGCCACGTTGCTCATGACATCCCTGGAGAGCAAAGCCGGAACAATGTCCTTTGCACCATCTCTGCACCTTGATCAGAAAGGATAGTGCTGATTGGCTTTCGGACCCAAGGAGCTCGGAAGCCTTCTTCGGGGTACATGGGACCCTGTGAGCATCATGCGGGTTCATGCCCCATGTTCAGGGCCACCACCCACTTTTGAGGTGGTTCCCTATTGACATTCATCCGCCTATTTTATAGCGAGCTCACCCGGGGGCACAACGAGCTCACCATGATAAAGGTACTTAACCTGGGGATCCTTGAATTCAGCTTTTGGAAATATAGTAAGTTTTGCAGAAATTCATAGCCAGGCTCAGACCGTAGGGGAAATTCCTCACCGCAGAACGGGCTGTCGGCCCAAAAGGCTTCCTGCGGGCGTGCCGCATGTGAAAGGCGCCTGGCAAAATACCATGTGCAATGGCGCGGCCTGAGCGGATCCAAGTTCCAAGTTGGCCAAAGAAACAGGCTTTCCCGCAGGAGTGAACTTTCATGTTTTGCATTGGGTTTCTCGCCGTGGCCTTGAGGAACATCCAAAACAGGGATGTTTGACTGCTCAAGTTAGTAGAGCATGAGGTTTGCCGGGGCTTACCATTCACTACTCTGCGCTCCAAACACATTTCCCAAGATATTGCTTGTCAGTCGCGAAGTCGTTGTTTTCTGCTTGTCCAATTGGTTGATGCTAGTTCCGAATCTACATCACTAACCCCAAACACAGAGGCTCTTCTTTGTGGTTGGCCTGATGGCACGCTCTTCCATTAGAGGCGTAGACCTTGCAGAGCAGCTGGTTGCCGCAGAGTTTCGTTAGACAGATTGCAGAGTGCCTTGCCTCATTTGTTCCGGCCTGTAGGATGTAGGATGTGACCGCCAGGCTGCAAATGATCAATCATGAGAACGCCTCGGGTCCCCCCCTCCTCGTTCCGCGCTTTGGCCATAGTTGATTGAGCGATGGCCGGTTGGACAGCGCAGACGCTTCGCGCTGCCGGCGCTCGACGAGTGGCAAAGGTCAACATGAGATGGGCGTCGACGCCCTGGGAGCAAGCGACCGAGCCGCTTTCAAGCTGGGGACGGGGACTTTGCGCATCATCCGCGTGAATCAAGCCATCGCTCGATCCGCGAACTGGCAATCCTCCTTGGACGCATTGAATCAGTTGGAGGCGGGGGCCGAGAGGACTTGGCTGAGGCAGAAGCGGATGCGCCATATCTCCTCAGGGGGCATTGTCTCATTGCACATTAGAAAATGTCCCGTAACCACTAAAAGTCATTCCTTTTTGGAAGACTGTCTCATGTCTGAAATCATACCCACAAGCATCAACTCAATTTTCCATGGCGGAACTGTTACCTTTGCGGGTACCTTGTGTTCATTTCGAGTCAGGGTTCCAAAAGGTTCGCCTCAACCACGCAAATCATGGTCAACATGCTCTTGTTGGTATTGGGTGTCTCTCTTTTTTGCATCCCACCAAAATGGTGGTGTCGCTTGTTGCCCTTTGAGCCACCAAGAAAGGGTACCCTCCAAAAAGGACACACCCAGTGGCCATTTTAGAAGGTACCCCTCGAATCCACAGCCTCACCTTTCGTTGGGATTTGTCCCCTTTGGCTGGTGGTTTAAAAGTCACACCCTCGCCTTCAAACTCAGTAACATCGAAGCTTGGAGGTGACCTTGTTGCAGCCTACGGTGGTGACCTTCAACTCTCTCATCAAGGCTGGTGGCGGATGTTTGTTTGTGTGTTTGTTTTGGAATTGACATCAGTTTCAGTAGTATTCTTATAATTGGTTTGTTGGCTGGCTGGTTGGTTGGTTGTGGGTGGGTGGTTTAGTGGGTTGGTGGCTTGGTGGCTTGGTGGCTTGGTGGCTTGGTGGGTTGGTGGGTCTGCGGGTTGGCGGGTTGGGGGGTTGGCGGGTTGGCGGGTTGGCGGGTTGGTGGGTTGGTGGGTTGGTGGGTTGGTGGGTTGGTGGGTTGGTGGGTTGGTGGGTTGGTGGGTTGGTGGGTTGGTTGGTGGGTTGGTGGGTTGGTGGGTTGCTTGGTTGGTTGGTTGGTTGGTTGGTTGGTTGGTTGGTTGGTTGGTTGGTTGGTTGGTTGGTTGGTTGGTTGGTTGGTTGGTTGGTTGGTTGGTTGGTTGGTTGTTTTTTGGCCATGTGTGTGTGTGCAAGGTGCCCAAACGCTTAAGGAAAGCCAAAAGGAAACCGACATCCTTTTTGGGAGTCCAGGCCCCTTACCCATGCTTTAGGAATCCTTGTGCTTCCTGTTTTGGCCGGCTTAAACATCACCCGTTTGGCCATGTCAAAGTGCATGTCCTTTTCCAATTATGGTTCTAGATTGCCACGTGCTGCGGTGTGAAAGTCGTTGTGCCTGGATGAGGCGCAACCACTACAGAGGTGCATGTTGCTTGGACGTTAGGATTTAACTTTTTGCCAACTAATGGGTTTTCCATTAAACCCACTAAAAGTTAAACTTTTAGCAGGGAAGCAGAAAGCAACCGAGCAGAACAAATATTTGTACAAATGGTCTTTCCACACGCTTCCAGGTCTTCGCAGGTCGCTGGCGGGAAACCGTGCAGTGCCTGAGGGAGATGCGTATGCGCCGCGCAGTCTGGCTGAGTCAGCGGCCAATGAACGTTTTAATAGGCGTAGCCAGTCCTGACCCCCAAGGCAAACCGCAAGGGGATGGACATGTCGGTTGATATGGCCATACCAGACCTCAAGATATTTACAACCCACCAAAAGCCACTATGAGTATCCTAAGGTTGGGGAGCTTCCCTTTGAGCAGTACCTAAAGGTAAGCTGAGAGGAAGCTTTGCAGTTTCTGGGCAAAGATGCAAATCGTCGTCGAATTGTGCTGCAAATGGTTCATGTGGCGGGGCTCACTCCTTCCGACACGCTTCCGGATCATGGCCTGAAACTTACCTGCTCAACCGGCAAATATCGGCAGTTTGGAGTCCAGGATGAGTTAATTTGGCAAATCGGGCGAGTGAACCCGTCATATGAAACCATCCTTTTGGGGGCCAGGATGAGTGTTCAAATCAATTAGACCAAGCTCGGACCCAGGTGACCCAGAAAGTCGTTGTGGAGCCAATATATTTTGCCAACATGAGGTCCATGTCTCAGCTGGGTCCGGCTTTCTGGGTCCACTGGCCCGTTTGATCGTTGGCAAATCAGGTTGTCTCGGACGAGATCACCTGCAACACCTGCATCGGCGTGCTCAGCAAGGCGCACTGGCGAAAGGCGCAGGCCCTGGCGGATCGGCTGCCGGAGGCCTTCGGCGTCTGCGCCCTCTTGGCCGAGTCTGGGAATTGGCGGGTCGCCATGGGCGTGATGACGAGGCTGGGGCTTGGGGCGCCGATTTGGGGCAGGCCAGGCATGCCCAGGCTGGTGGCTTGGAGAAAGACGAATCGGCGAAACCTAAGGCTCCCTTTCCATGGAGGGGATTCACCCGCGTTCGAGTCAATCCTGGGATTCTTCAGGTGGAATGTGATGTTTCGCGAATTCGCGGTTTGTGCACAGACAAAACTCACAGGAATCCTTAAATTGTGCATGTCGGGGGGTTCGTCCATCACTTCTCGGACATGCCAAAGCAGGCTTCACCCACTTTAAACCCACGCTGTTGCCACTGCGCAGGGAAACTGAGCAGAAGCAGCAGAAGCCACAGTTTGGGATAAGCTCTATTTGACAGAGGCAGCTATGCGGATGTGTCGTTTTTTGAGCGCGCACTTTTGGAGAAAGATCTTTCAAGCAAAAACAAATCGAAGGGGAACCACCCACTGTGTGGCTTCCCCTACTCCGCAAAGCCAAAGGAGCACAAGCAGAAATAAGCCAACCAGGAAGAGGCGATTTTGAGACGGAATCAGGGGTGGGTTTGATGCAGCCGCATGCAGCCGCATGCAGCTCTCGCGCAGATGTGATGCGGACACGGCCTGCTTCAACGCGTTGATTCCTTTGAGTACCTGGGCCTTCGCGCTAAAGATGCTCCAGAAGATGCCGGCCCAGAGGGTGCAACCCAACAGGAGCTTTGGGTACCAGCCTTACCACTCACATGTCTATACAACCCTTTGCCTGGCTTGGCGTCCTTTCATTTTGCAGACGGAAGTTCGGGTTTTGCGTGGGCTTTGCGTCTGTTGTTTTGTTACAAAAGAAATGTCGGGCCCGATGTAGGGTGCTCCTGGGGAAGCCCCCATCATCATTCGAGATGGATGTCGTTATGCGAATCTCTGTGATTCCTGTTGAATGCGGTTGAATGTGGGAAACCACATGGGACCCTTAAGTAGGTAGACATGAATTCCCACCCAATTGAAGGGTGCTTCAATTGCTAAAATTCGCACCCAAATGCAAATCCCCCCGCTCCCAATGCGGTGTTCTAGTTCCTTTTGGGTTCCATGTGACTGCGTGGGGGGTATGTGTGCGCTCCGGCCAGTGTCCTTTCAATACTGAGCTGGTCCACTTGGTAGGTGGCTCAGCGAGGCAGAATGAAGGCCAGAGTTAGCCTTACTCCAATCTGAATGTGGACTTGTTCGAAGGGCATGTCCCATGATGAGAGAAGTGATCACGGTATTTGTCCAAATCTGAGAAAGACACGACGACGCATCATTTTTGCAAGACACAGAAAACAATGTGGAAATATTCAGGGGCAAAACCTACCGGCAAATATTGCAACTGCACCAACTGCAAGAGGTGGTCATCTCTCATTTGCATCATGGGGGTATCACACGCGACAATTGCAACGTCAGAGGGCACACCTCCCCAGATAGATCGGAACATGTTCCGAGGGGGTTGATATGGTTTTTACAGGCCCTTCTGCTGGGCGGCGCCAGTTGACCCAGAAAATAGAACCCCACCTGCAGTGTCCCAGCGGGTGCACATATTTGTTTCTCGTCTCCTTGGCTCCCAGAAACTCGAGGTTGTGCTTTTTGACGGTCCCCTTTGCTGAGGTTTAAAGGAAGACTAAAAGGAAACCAACCTTTTTGAACATGGGGTTCCGCGTTGACATGCTTTGGGGAATCTATCGTGATATGAGAGTCGTCCGAAAGGTCCTCGTATTGAGCTATGAAGGGGAAGACCTTTTCGTCTTAGCGTTGACCTCGGCGAAAGTTCGGCGAAGGGGGTTGCGAAAGTTTGTTTTTTTCCGCGAACGTTTTGTGCAAGGGTGGCTTGCTAACAGGAAGCTGGAATGATGAACCATGTCACTGTATTTCCCGGCAGTGCACGCAGAATGCCCGCAGACTAAAGTTGGTCGGAGAATGCGCAGCCTGAGGGTCGCCGCAAGACACGCCGCTGCAAAAGCAACCCCCGGCCAGCAGAAACCAGCTTCTGGGAGTTTCGAAGCTTTCCGGGCAAATTGAGCGCAACTTCCGGATTTTCGCGAATGTTTGGCGTAAGATCCGCGAAAGTTTTGCGAAAGTTGACGGACCTCCCCGCCAATTTCCGGACATGAGGCCAACGGGTCCTCTCGTGTGTGTAACTCACGGCTTGTGAGCTGGAGCTGCGGAAGCGCGCTTCGCGTGCCACTTTGGAACTGAAAGGTTGCGACTTTCGAGCCGGAAGTTTACTTGGTACTAGTTTCGTTTTTAAAAGCTTTCGAGGCTGAGGGAGTTTAGTTCGTGTACTACTTTCGTATTCAAGCCGGGCTGCGAAAGTTTACTTTTAGCACTACTTTTCGCACTGAAGAGCTGCGACTTTCGAGCTGGGGCTGCGAAAGTGTACTTCGTGTACCACTTTTGTGATGAATGTTCTGAAAACAGCCCCGCGAAAGTTCCGCGATGGGGTCCGCGAAAGTTTATTTTTTTCTCGCGAAGATTGCGTTTTCCGGAACAAGGAATTTCAGACAACCGTCATATGTTGGCAGCCCTATTTGGATAGAAGGTGCTGGCGTCCCTCTCGTGAGAGCCCTCTGAAGACCGTGTGACGTTGACAAGCGAAACCCAGTCCCACTCTGCAATGCTTTGCTTGAAACACTCCCCTTTTGTGACTAGTGTTTTGTTTGCTTGTTTGTTTGTTTGGTTGGTTGTCTGTTTGTTTGTTTGTTTGCAGCTTCCGGCACCTGAAAACTGAACAGCTAGCCTTCCCACCAGCAGTTGGAAATTTTATCTGGAAGATGAGTTTCTTGATTCAAGTTCGACCCTCTTCTAGGGGTTGTTGCCCCATTCTTTTGGACCATGATTCTTTTCGAAATTCCGCCGTTTTCCCCGGGTTTCTGGAGGTTTTCAAGAAAGCAGGATCCCTGGAAAAAATGGGTGTCAGGCGCCCACCTACACTTGGCACCTGCAAGAAATCTGGAAGATGAGTTTCTTGATTCAAGTTGGGCCCTCTGTCAGGTGCCACCAATTTTTCCGTGTCCCGAGCGCAGGAGGTCCTGGAACGCCCTGAGCGCGCAGCTCGCGCCGCCGCAGTGGCCGCGCAGCCTGGCGCAGCTCAGCCGCATGGACCTGGTGGGCCTGAACTCCCTCATGAGCCGCTCGCATCGGATGGTTTTTGGCTTCGGTTTTTGGGGCGGTTCCTGTGCGAAAGAACGGAAGGAACTCAACAGGGAGGTTCCCAAAATCGAGGTTCCCATCTAAAAAAAAGAGCGGTTCCATGTGAGGTTGAAAAAGTATGAGCCAGGTTTTGGTTCACATCTTGGGTTGGAAGTTACTGCGCCGGATGCTTTTAGCAGGGTCACGGCTATCAAGATTGTTGCCCCCTGTCGCCTGTCGGTGGTGTTCATTCAGAGGACCGTCTAGAAAGTTGTGCTTGGCTTGGAGGGCCCTGTTCCAACGCTTGGAGGCCTCTGCGAGAAGGCATCCGCATGGAAGACCTGCCTGCAGCTCCTGGTGTCTCGGTGCGTCCTTCGTTTGGCATTGCAATCCGTTCCCCTGGGCTGCGAAGAACTCGCCCTCGTCAATTTCCCTATGGATTAGGGTCGGCCAATGCTCCATTGCTCAAAATGCCGGTGGATAAAATGTGGGCTGGCTCGCTGCATTTTCTTTCGCGCGTCATTCTGGGGTTGGGATTTCACTCAGGGGCATCCCCTGAGTGTTGCGTGCTTGGCACATGCAGCATCGCACCACTCCCAGGGGACTCGCGGCAGACTGTTCTTCAGGGTTTTCCCACGAAGTCGTGGGAAAGTGTGGATTCCTTCTTCCAGGTTTGGGAAGTATAGCAAACTTGCAGATCATGCTTTGGATCGGCAAAGTCCTGCACCAGCTGAACTGGTGCAAGGACAGATTTTGTCCACCCAGCCAGCTGTTCGAGGTGTCTCGGATACGGATCGCGGATAAGCTCAGCTTCAACTGTGCCATCCTGGGGCTCGGGCAGTCCGCCTGGCGCCGCGGCCTCCTCTTGGTGGAGGACATGATGTGGCGCAGGTGGGGTAGGGGTCAGGTCTGTTGGGAGTTGGGACAGTTGGGACCCCTCCGCAGAACGCGGTAAGGAAATTGCAATAGCACAGACCGCGCACGGCGTGGGTTGGGACATGCTGGGACCATCGCCAACAAAGCTGTACAGCTGAGCTAGTGGGCTTTTCTAAGAGACCTCAGGTGTCCAGTTGGTGAACTGTCCTTTTGGGGCTGTCCTTTTCGTCCTACGTCTTCTTTCCTCTATTTTATACGCTTGGTTCGGATTCCCGTGCACTTCTGGTCATGCCAAGGTGATGTTCAAGTTCTTGCCCGAAAGGGTGAGCTTTGGCACAGTCCCGAGGGTTGTTCAGCAAGGGAATGCCTTTTAACTTCTTGGTGCAACCTCTTGAGGAGGGGGGCAAAGCGCGAGCATCCGAATTGGGAGTCTTTGATCTTGAGCAACCTTCGCACGAGTCCAGATGTTCTTTTCGTTTGCGAGCATTGGAGAGGAAGGGCATTCCGAGCAATTATGCGCGCAGCTGCAGAAACGTGGCAAGGTTTTATAACAAATATGATACACATCAACCAGTCTTGCAAAATAACATTCCGTGGAGGCTTGATGATGCTTTGCTCTTAAGTGGTTTTATCGGACAAGATGACAGTTGTCTGAGGGCCATGTTATGCAAAGCTAGCTGCACGTGGATGAAGTATGTCTTAGAGTCCAAGTTGGTTTGCCAGACAGGAACAGTGCAAGTGGCAACACAGTCTTAGTAGGACTTTTGCAATGCAGCTAATGCTTGCAACAACAGCGTGCAACCACAGAACCCGAAGTCAATTGTAACCATTGGCTCGCTTGGTTCTACGGCAGTCTCGGGCAAATTTGCGCGACCTCACACACACGGATTCGATTGCGACCTCACCTATGACGATGAAGCTTTTATTGAGAGGGTCCCTTTTTCGGGTCGCGATTGAGGGAGCCAGAAGTGTTTGGCTGGTGTTGACAGCTCAGGGTTCGCCAGCAGGTCACTGACCTGCAAGTTGCTTTCAATGGGCATCACCCGAACCGTGAAAGGCATCGTTGGCCCATTTGCTTGGAGTCTTTTGGGCTGGAACCTTTGCAGGTGAATTACTTGCAAGGCTTTTAATGGGGCCGGCATTTTTCTGCATCGTTGCCTCACTTACTCGGTGGCGTTTGCTGTAAGGATTGGCTTTAGCTCACTTTTTGCAAATGTGCCCCTTTTGGGGGAGTCCATGTTTCCCAATTGCTCCCGTGCTGCCGGGTACTCTCTCAGCTGTTCAGTGGTGCCTCGCAATTGTGTTTTTATTTCGGCGTCTTTGGGGTAGTACATGTTGTTTCACTGCATATGCTTTCTGTGCGGCTTTCTTCGTTTCAAAACGGCTTTTGCTTGGCTCTTGTGATTCTGGCTTTCGTTCACCCCAAGCAACACGGAGCCGTTTTTCAACAGACCGGTTCGCCCACCGACGAAGCGAGAGGGTCCAGCCGGACAGCGCCAGCTATCTGGGCCTGTGCCACCGCGACAATTTGGAGCTCCTGCCAAAGCATATGGCCGCACACCAGGCCGGGCCGGTTCGGCGCGTTTTTTTTCTTTTTGCCAGAGCGATGTGCGAAGCGTTCATTCGGAGAAAGCGTGAGCCCCAGATGAAGGACTCCCTGGTGGTTTTTCTTGGACCCCCTGGTTGTGGTACTTCTTTTGTTTTGGGGGGGGGTTGGTTGTCCTTTTTTAGTCGGATTCCCGGTTCACTTTTGTGGGTCTTTCGCAACACGGGGAAACCTTGTTTGAATGGTTTGAGCATGAGGACACAAAGCATTATACAACTCCTTGATCTTAAGAAACAACAACAGATCTGCATTGCAGGTCTAGACGTATAGAGACCAGGAGATAGAACAAGATACTTAGGAATTACGTACCTGTGCATGTCTTTCTATAACATGTTGTATTGTGTTGTCATCTTGGTTTATTGTCGTTCATTGTCGTTCATTTGTTGTCGTAGTTTCAACCGCATAAAATAGTATGTTTTCATGCTGAGTGATGGGATGATTCTTTCTTCAGTCTCGCCTACAATTGGATGAGGATTTGGAAGAAGAAAACAGGTGTTCATCCCTCATCATTCATCATCTCCTTTTCGAAAGTCTCTCATATCCCTATCTCACAATATCTCATCTTGGAGCGTCTCTTCAGAAATCATATCGCCGGATGGTGAATGCCAGGTCATTCCTACCTTCTTATATCATATCATCCGTTGTCTTCTTTATGTTGTACCTCTGTCCACCTTCCCCTTATCCACCCGTGAACTGATGAAGGTGGGACGTGTAGAAAGGTGAGTGAGGAGAGATGGGCCAGCCATTTACAGCGTACCAATTGAGCTGGTGAAGCCATCTCCCTCCTTCATTTTTACATTCTCAAATGCAGTTAGGTGGGTACCAGAGAGTCTTTCTCAAAGTAGGGGTTCCCTAAAATGGTTTGTTTCCTTTTGCCCGGTATTATGTGGGGGTCGTTGTGTTTCTCTGTTTCTGGGGTCAGCCATCGGGGTTGCTTCCCTTTTCCCTACCACTTCGGCACAACTTTCTGATGGTACCGTAGTAAGGCCAGCGTGTTCCCCACCTGGTAGGCTTGGCTTCATTTGTTCCCCGCACCTCACTTCGGTGGGAGGGGTTGGCCTGAAAACGGTGCCCTCGACAAAGGGCACAACCATGTTAAATCTTTGCTTCGGGGAGGGGGGGCGGGAGGGTGTTATATTGCCCAAGGGATTTCATCAGGTACCTGTGCTGGGGTTACTTTTGTGGGGAACGGATCCCAAGACCCGAGACGACAATCATATCCCTTTGGGGGTCTTAAGCTTGAAAACTGCCCACATGCGGGTTTGCGTTGTCGTTTCGCTGGTTTGGCACTTTTCCGGGCATGTATGTAATTGTTGGTTGAATGTTTAAGGTTTGACCCCCTTTTCTTGTTGTTTGTGTGGTTCGGGTCCCACCGAGAATGGTATCACCACCGGGTAAGCGGCCTAACAATTAAAAGCCCACTCCTAAAATCATGAAGACAGCTGGTTGTAAAATACCCCACGCTTGAATCCGATTTTTTCTTCAGACCATAACATTGCCTTTGGAGGTTTCGCAGGTTCTTGAGGCTACAAACCACCAAATTGGGAGAGGCTGAACCTTTTTGGATGGTCTTACAGGGGGACCAAAAGGAAACCACCCATTTGGGTCCCCAAAATTGAATTTGGGGCTTGTCGCATCGGCTCAGGTCTCACCGAGCGCTGCGCTGCGCGGGGCTCTGGTGGCCGCCTGCCAAGAGGAGGGCGACTGGCGCCAGGAGCCGAAAACCACGGGGTTCGCGGAACCCCTGGGGCGTGGTGGAGAATTCCACGCGGGGAGTGGTGGAAAATTTGTGAAAATTCCCGCAGTACCTTCCGCTGCCATGCTCTTCACAGGTTTCTTGGAGTCTCCTCCAAAGCTTTTTGAAGCTGCAGACTGGTTCTGGCCTGTCCACTCAGGAACTGAGAACATGAGGAGCCCTGCTTTTTCCACAAGCGCGAGCAGAGGGCAGCTTTTCTGGCCAGGCCTTGCGCTTGGTGGTCGCGGGCGTTCCAGACGCTGCAGCCTGCGGGGCCGCGCTGGCGGCGGGGCAGAAGGCGCAAAGGTGGAAGGAGGCACGGGCGCAGGGCAAAGGGATTGCACGGACTACCCTTTCACCAACTAATTGGGTCCCCCAGTAGTGCCCTTTTACCCTTTTTGGGGAGGATTCCCCTACTAAAATAGACCACAGGAAAATATTCTAACCCTCTACTGGAGGACCTAGCCAATTATCAGCCGGAACCTGACATTCGAGCCCGGTCCCTTTAGAGCGGAAATGGTCCAAACCAGGACCCCCCGAACGTCAGGTTCCATGTTGATTGGAGGGAGGGCATACCAGCAGGGTCATCAACAAGTAGAATGGGCTGTTCAAAGGTGATCCGCAAGATTCTTCCCTTGGGTTGCGCAAGGATTTGGCCTCCTTTGTAGTCCCTCTAGGGATAGTGGATTAGGATTGGCCAGCCCTCCATTTTGAACAGCCCACGTAGCATGGGGCGCGTGGCTAACAATGTGACAAGTAATCAGAAGGTAGTAAAGTAAATGAATCACGTGCGTGTACTTTTTCGGGTACGTGTCAAAATAGCGGAACCCCAAGGCTTGTGTTGTTTGTTTTTGTTTTTTGGCTGGCTTCCCTTAACCAGCTCCCAGAACTGATGTTGATGGACGGCTTTACTTTCCAATCCGTGGGGTGGACACACAAGGCCGCGCAATGGCACGGGATCGGGTTGACTGCGAGCATTTGCAGAGAAGAGCAAACCACAAGGCATACAACTTCTTTCGACCCATGTGAGGCAACACCCACGCATCGAGCAAGGTATGTTTGACCAGGTTGAATCGCAGTCCCGTTCTGGCTATCATGCCCTCCTGGGGCTCCTGCGGGGTGATCCGGCCGGCCGGGTTCCGAGAACACATTTCTTGGTCCGGTGGCGTCTCGCCAGCTTCCAGGGAAGCCCCGGCCACCCAATTGACATGCAAGCACCACACTGCTTCTTTTCAGGGCGCCCAGCCAGGGTTTCCCCCAAACAATGGCACCGGTACCCTTCCGAAAGCCAACATGGGCCCTGTTTTTCCAGAGCACCCGGGCAAAACAGGGTCCTTATGGTTCCACCTTCTTCTTTTTTGCGAAGGCAAACCACACCAAGGCAAGCAGGATGACGGTTCCCCCACCACGCCAAACCAAAACACGTTTCCCCCAAACCGTTCGAAGCCGTCCGCCGGCCGCGGTCGTGCTCGCTCTCGCGTCGGTCGCGGATCGCTAAGGCGCTGGCGCTGCTGCGTTTCCAGCGCCGGCGGCGCATTGCGCTGGACGCGCTGGGCCTCAGCGCGGCGCTCGCCGCGCCCAAAAGGGCCAAGTGGCGCCAGGCGAAGGGCGCGAGACGCTTCCTTGGCGCATGTTCCCAAGCAGGGCTGTGGGGAATGACCACTTCTGTGATACAACAGAAACGGCTTCCCAAAGACTATTTTCTTGATAGGGGGATCCCCTTGTATCACAGAAGTGGGGAGAAACCCCTTGATCCCACAACCCTGTTGCCAAGGGATATTGGGCAGGGCTCCTGAAAAGATGCATTTTGCCCAATTGAAACATGGCTTTTTCCACCAAAATAAAGGGACACCACCATTTACCCATTTACAAGGCAATGTTCAGGTGTATAATGTAAGGATCCCTGTTAGGACTTTAACTTTTTGTCAATTAATGGGTTTCCATTAAACCACTAAAAGCTAAACGTTTAGCAGGGGAGCAGAAAACGACCGAGGTTTGTTTGAGGGGTGGAAGCAATACCGTACTCGCAGCAGGCGGGATTAAAAGGGGGCCCAGAGAACCATGGTGCTTGTTCGAACTGCATGGGAGGACTTTTCACCTTCTTTCATTGAAGGTGACAGCAGTTGCTCAAACTGCCCTCCTAAAAAGCTGATGCCCCCAGAAGAAAAACTTGCTTTCGGGCAAGTAGCTCAGTGGCTCCAAAAGATGATGAGATCACACAGTTAGCGGAACTGGTGGCAGTCCTTGGAACATGGGAAACATGGGACTGGTTGCCAGAACGCCACCCTCGCCTCAAAATCTTTGAAACAACCCCCCCAACCTGGTTTAGGTTTAGTTTTCTCACATTTTTCCTTAGACCCAACAAACCCAACACCGTACAACTCTAGGTCCCCCAGTAGCGCCCTTTTACCAACTTATTTGGGGGAGGGTTACCAAATAGACTACATGAAAAAAATCGGGCACCCTTATTCTAACCAACCTCTACTGGACCTAGAACTCGACTCGACCGGGTCGCGTCAGGCGCTGGCGCTGCTTCGGGTGGGCTTGGCCTCTTTGGTGTCCCCGGCCATCGCGGGCTACGCTGCGGCGGTGCAGTGCCTGGGCCGCTGGCGCCGCGCGGTGCAGCTGCTGGAGACTGGGATGTGGTGGGCTCCCACCCATCCGGTTCCTCAGGTTTTAGGCTTGCTACTGTTTGGGGGGAATGTATTCAATTTATTAAAAGGGTGTCACTTTTGGCGGGAGATCTGAGGACATCCCAGTAAAAAGAGAAGTGTTACCTTCCATTTGGTGTCAATTCCTTCTAAAACCAACCAACAAGGGCCAGTTACCCTCAAATGAAGACAGAGATGTCCATTGTTGAATATCCACCCCCTGGGCTTTTTAGCTTTTGATTGTTTAGTGGGGATTTCCATTTCACCCACTAGCGTTTCACTTTGAGCGGGGGATCTGAGGACAGGGAAAGAAAAGTGTTACTGTTCTTGGAGGATGCCCTTGTTGGAGTGGTCTTAGACGGAAAACCCAAAAGCATGGTGTTGGGGTCCCTTGTTTTAAGGCGCACCTATTTGGGTGGCCTTTGGGAAGATGAGCTTGGTGGCAAGCAACAAGCTTCAGCTTTGAGCCTATCCCATGTTTGCCCTAAATTAAGTACAGTCTACCAAAGAACATACCCTGAGGCTCCAAACTGTGTTCTCCACACTGGTTTTCGATAAACACCCAAAAGCAAGCTTGGATTCGACAAACCCATGTTTTTTTGGGGGGGGTGGTTTTCCGACAAACCCTGCACACTTTTCCACACATGGATTCGATCAATCACCTCGTATCGGTGGCACATACTGCTTGATCGACAGCAGCCACCTTTGCAACGTCCTGGTTTCCAGCGCATCTCCTGAACTGATTTATGGTTTCTTGCAATTGGCAAACTGGTAAAGAGTGCAACTGAAAGTATCCACAATAAACCAAATGATGCAACCAAGATGCTATGAACTCTCCTTGCTAGCTGCTTGATAGTTCCCATACAATCTTCATCCAAAAACGTGTGATACGAACGCGCAGATGTAAGCTCTTCACACTGATCTTCAAGTATATGTTGATAAGCCTGGCAAAGTCAGAGGTAAACACAATGTGCTGAACACCTGTTTCCAAATGTTTAAGCCTGACACTCAAAAAGAACAAAGACAACTATTGCTGCTTCTGTTGCTAAGGCTCATGCAGCTTTGGGCGCAGAGGAAACCAAAGCAAGTTAAGCTCACGGCAGTGGCTTGAGGCTGCATAGTAGATCCCCAAAAACTTCTGGCCAATAGATTTCAGATGATCAGCTTGCTCTTGGCTCAAGTAAATGGGGTACTCCTCAATTTTGGTCATATATTCGTTCAAGCTTTGCACAGCGCCAAGGGTGAGGTTCATAAGAACATCATCAGCACTAGCTTGGCTTTGGAGTTCAGCCAACGCAGCTGTGAAAAACACCAGGAGCACCCTCCCATTGTAGGCTTTGTGCGAGAACTCAGCAAAGTCCAAAGCTGAACCCCGAACCATTTGCAGCGTGAAGCGGGGTTGCGAGTGTGCAATGCCTGCTGCATTACCCCATGCACGGAACCTGGTATACAAGACATTCAGTTGCCGGCTCATATCAGCAGCAGAAATTGCTGCACCATATTTGCCACTCCCAGATAGCAGCAAAGCACACGCGGCATTCACCCACTGGGCCACTCCAAGGTTTACCGTGTGCATCATACACCAGCGGTTCAACATGAAGTGGTACCCAATGATGCATGTGAGGGGTGATGGATACCTTGGAAGGATATTCAGGATGAAGTCTGCATGTGACCGCTTCTCAAAGTGCTCAAAATGCTTCCAGCGAGTCCATCGATCAGGTCCATGTTTTCGGGCAGTACACCTGAAACATATTTGCTTCATGTTCCATCCAGCTTTCATACCATACAAGTCAATATAGCCTCGCCAGTCAGCACGAATTTGGCAAAATGCATATGGCCCACCAGCCAGTGGACAACCTTTGTTTGCAGATCTTTTGCCTGAAGGCCACTCCTGGCCATCCTCACTTGCCTAAAATAACAGCATGCCCTTTGTTCTCAAACTCAAACATTACCCTTTTTGGTCACTGGATGAAGCACACAGTTTAGACAAGGGTGGGAAACCAAATATTCAAAATGTCACTTTGGGTGAGTGAGCATCAATATTCTTGTAAGGCCACTGTCCACTGAAGGCAACCTCACAGTGCATGGTCATGCTTTGCCATTAGCAGCTCGCAATGCTATAAAGCTACAAGGAAAAGGGCCACCATGTATCAAACACACTTCCTTGTTGGATCAGGAATCCTTTCAGAGATGTTTCATGGCAAGGGCCACCATCAAATTATGAAAACAAGGTTGTTGCAAAATTCTGAGAACACGTTTCACATTCAATATCAGCAAGGCACATTCACGGACCACGCAAATATTCGGAGCGCCGGCTCAAACGTGGGTCTGCCCAGAGAGATGGCCACCCTGACCAAGAACCAGGGGTAGCGAGCCATCTGCAGGCCTGCCGGGCATACATCATGGTTTTGCAGCATCACACTTCGAAGGAAGTATACTATCACAAAATGCAAATTAATAGTATCTGTTCAATTGTGCAAGCAAGGTGCTCTCAATGTTCTGACACGGTAGATTCAGCACCATGGCTGTCAGCTTACTCCCCATGAAATTGTATCTGGCATCATCAGTGAAGAGGCCAATTGGAGTGTAACCTTTTCCAGGGTGCATTCGAGCCCACTCCATGTGCATGTGGCGATCCCAGAACCTCTTCACCAGCACCGTGTCCAGCTTGATCTTGCCCGAATCCTTACAGGTCACATGGCACACCTCTACATGCATTTGACATCATGGATGAGAGAAACCCATTTGTCCATGCACATCTTGACAAGCTGACCTGGGAAGGGCCCGGGACATGCCTAGTTTGTAGTACCAGTGATCCCACTTAACAACAGCCAAATGGGGCATGATTAGCTTCAATTCCAGTGATGCAAATTGACAACAACTTGCACTCAGTGGGGCATGCTTGGTTTCAACCCCATCAATGAATGGTGACAACAACCAATTGGGGCATGCTTGGTTTCGACTCCATTGACACATGGTGACAACAACCAAATAGGGCATGTTTAGATTCAACTCCGTTGATGCATGGTGACAACAACCAAGTGGGGCATGTTTAGACTCAGCACCTCTCAAATGACTTCAAGTTTCCTAATTAGGAATCATTTGGTGTTTAAGATGCATACAACCACTTAAAGTTTGCCCAACCAAAATAAGGCACATGCAGAAAGTGCAAGAGCTCATGGGGCAGAACCATCGGGAGCTCCACGACGGTCTCCCTTGCAAGTCCTGGCCCTGCCCTGACCGGGCACTTGACAAAGTACAGATCAAGTGGCAGCCGAATTATACGGCCCAAGTCCCTCTCCATGTTCTGAGCATGGACCCCTGAGGATCCCAGCTTTGCCAGCTGTGAAGTCAATCTTGAAGATGATGGATTTTCCTGTCAGTTTGAGAGGGTCATGGAATTCCCTTGCATGTCACTGGCCTGGAGACAGGCAGCTGCTGCTTCCTGCGCTTGCTTCACTGATGAGGCCTGGCCAGCCCAGCAAACTCAGAGTTGGTGAGTTCATCATATCTTCTCAAGAAACCTGTTGATAGGTCCTTCAATTAGGACGATGTTCATACCATGTTTGAACCTTGCAACAGGTTCCAAATCATTGGCAACCTGATCATGATGGATGCTCTTGAGTGATATCCTCGAACCAGAAAAAAAACAGCAGCTGGTGCGGCCCTTTTGGCAGCCAAATTGCTGGGAAGTTGTTGCAAGCTAGTGGAACATTAAAGCATGAACATGTTCCTGTTGGTCTGGGCAGGTCCTAGTGCTCACTGAAGGCTTGCAAGTTGTGTCTAATAAGTAGTTTCAAAAGAACTGCCATGCATAAAGGTGATGCCCATCAGGTGCTCAACACATGCATCAGCATGACTGAACCTTCCCAAATGAACCAGGGCCAGGCACTGAGCGACCGATGGAACTCAAGAGGTAGTCAGCGAAGTTCGTACCTGACATGATGGCACAAAAGCAGAAGCTTAGCCACACATGTGTGCAAAGCACATGCATGTTGCAGCATGTCAACCAAGCACTCAGTTGGTATCTTTTTCACACAAGCAAGGACTCAGGGATCTAGGCACACACATGCAGAATGCACAACCCACTGACTCATTGCCTCTATGGCTGACGCCGGTTGCAGCGAGTCTCCCGCAATTCATGCCACATGGCTGCCACCCCAAGACAACATTAAACAGCTGAGCTCAATCTCTTTGCAAAATCATGTTGGTTTCAAAAGTTGCACAGATGCCAGGCACCATTGAAATCTACATGCAGCAACGCTTAGGCCAAAGCTTTTGCCTTGGCACTAGCCTTTGCCTTTTTTGGGATTGCATGGATCTTCACATGAGCTGATTGCTCCTTGTACTGAACCACGCTCTCACAGCAGGCTTGGGTAACCGCCTCAAGCTCAGCATCAGGCGCCCCTCCTGCAATCTTCACCTGTCAGCTTGAAACAGTGTGGCACCAATATGACAAGTGAATGACTGCATGCAGGTACATGTATCAACAGGGCGCCTCCAGATTTTCCCTTGCACACATCATGTTCTTGAGCAAAGGCTGCAAGCTTTTGCAGAGAGCCCCCTGGAGCTCCATTGGCCTGCAAAGTGCCAATCACATGCAATTGTTTTGCTGAGAAGGAGTCCCTTGTCACATGCATAGTTTCTAGAATGTGTTCATGGCATGTGCACACATTGTTGCTGAGAGTTGCACACATTGTTGCTGTTCAACTTCGAAGGCCATCCCTTGCACTCCGTGATCGAGCTGGATGCCAAGGACATTGCCTGTGGCCACATGCACATGCACATACAACTAGGAATGATCATGGCCTGCTTGGCTTCTTTCATGGCTGTTTTCGGCTTTGCAGATGAACCACCAGCAGCCTTTGGTTTCGGGTTGGGCTTTCCTCCTCTGATGGGCAACTGCTGCCTGACAGCTTCAGGAGCCCATGACGATGCCGGCTGTTGCCTCAGAGTCATTGATGCAGCAGCACTGCACACAACTAGAACACATGTCAAACCAGCACCACATGCAAGCAAGCTTCTTCAGGGCATGTGCTGTTTGTGGGTCCAAATTGGCCTTATCCCGGATGGTTGTTGATCTTGACTCTGACTGGGACTCCTCCTCTTTGAACGCATCCCAGCACTTGAAGAGTCGCAAGTCCTGGCCAGGCAAAGCTAGCATGCAACACATCCACACACATTCGTTCATGCCCACAAGGCCCCAAATAATTCCAGGTCTTAGGGCAACTGAGCAGAACACTTGAGTCAACCTCACAACACTGAGCTTTTCAAGCCCCAGCCCAAATCGCAAACAGGCATGATGATCATGCAGGGCTCCTTCCGCCCCGGGAAGTCCGGGTTCTCACGCACCAAGCCATCCTTTTCCTGAGGGCTCAAGGACAGGCCATGAATTCTCACATGTACAGCTAGACAGTACCTCGCCTTGCGAGCAAGCAAGTCCTTCACCGTGCTCTCATCATATTTTGCAAGAAGGTCCTTAGAAGCCAACTTGCTCAAGAAACAGCATCATGGGCATAAAGTTCATGAACATGTTAATGAAGGCTGGTGCACCTTCTCAAGCAGCCAGGACCAGACCCCTCTGGTTGTCGATTTGTTCTCTTGCCTGTGGTCTTGGATGATGGCTGACTGAAGCCAATCCTCTCCAGACTGCAGCCACTCATCATAAAGTTGGCTCATGAACTTGGTCTTCTGGCTGCCTTGGCAAGGGGGCATGAGCATGGTCATGTGTCACTGCGCCAAGGCTGGCACTTTGCTGAGCCTCAAGAAGCTTCTGTGCGATAGGCGCTGGAACCCGGCTGCCTGGGGCAGGGCTGATCAAGCAGTAACCCAATGCAACTAACCTACATGAAAGACACATTCAAGCAAGAATTGAGCTTGGCACCTCTCATGCTACGATAGAAGCGCATGTAGCGAGCATGATCCTGACAGCTGCACAGTTGCCAACATGTTGACTTGAAACATGTGCTACTCCCATGACCCATGAAATGTCAGATCATGCATGCAAAGATTCTCCCCGAGCTCCATCATCTGCATCATGTTGATTAGACCCCTGAGCTTCAACTGCGTTGGGCTCTGCATGTGCTGTGGGTGCTGCAGCTGGTGCTGAAGGCTCCTGCTGTTGTGACGGTGCTGCAACTGCATTGGCTTCTGGTGACTCTGCATCACTGGGTGGGGCCTGCTGTTGGGGCAGGTTTCCAGCAGGTTGCAGCTCAGGCCTCGAACCCTCAGCCAGATCCTTTGTGTCCGGCCGCATGAGGGACACCTGAACAGCAGCACTTGTCTCAGCATGAGTGATGTCCAGTTGTCGTTGGGACCAAAGTTCAAGCAATTCAGGGACATCAGAAGCATCTTCACCAAATCGAAAGCCATCATCATCACGATCTGCACGCAATTCTGCAACAAAGGCCGCAAAGCCAGGCTTGCATGCTGCATGAACAACTTCAGGCTTTTTCCGGAAGTTGGGATGAACAAGTCCAACCACATCTTTCGGGATTGTCAGTGTGGTAGCAGCTTCAGCCACTTGTGCATGTGCAGCTGCTGCAGGTGCTGGTGTGGCCGCCGGAGTGTCCACCTGTTGGGCTGCAGGCGCATGTGAAGCAGCTTCTTGTTTCACTGACCCATCATGACCAGGCAAGGTGGCCTCCAAGAATGTGTCAAGCATGGTGTCAGCTGCCTGAGTTTCTGCATCATGATCATGAGCCTCTGTAGCCAATGTAGTGGTCGAGGTTGACTTGCACTTGTGA